TAAAAAGCTTTAGGGAATTTAGGTTCCTTCCCAAGACAACGCGAAATTCGTGTTTTTAGTGTTAAGAAGGTTTAAGTGGCCATAACGTTGTTTATGGATTTCGCAGGACACTGACATAAAATATCGTGCGTCAATATGATTTAATATCAAACAATGTTTGTCATGAGTATGCTATAACTGGTCAACCCACGGTTCACCAAAAAGGAATGAAAAATTCCAAAGCATTGTAAAACAACAAATATGTGATGCATCACATGTATTTTCATTGGTTTCTCCAGGCTTTAAAATTTTTTAAGTAGCTTTGAAATGCGCAAAACCAACTTACATATCATTCTATAAATCACTTTCATCCTGCAATCCTGTATAATACGTTCTGCTTAACACCATCAAACATATGAAGTATAAAAATACAAATATCATGCATTTACAAATGTGAGATTACAAAATATGCATCACTTAATCAAAATGCCCCAATCAACGCCATATAATGTCAGCTTTGCGTACCATTCCTGCATCTACCACATTGGATGGCTTGTATCGTCACTGGCTGATGTTATACACACTTCATGAATGACATCACATTCCCTGTTTCCTAGGGACGTCTATCGCTGTTGACAATCAATTTCGAAGTTACATACGTTCTATGTACGTGTTATCTTGTAGTTTGAGTATATTAAACTAATTTTTCTGCTAGTAGTAGAACCTTGTTCGATAAAAACACTTTTGTCTTGATAAGTAAACATCATTTTGATTCTCGCTTAATACTTTTAAGCTTGACTGTATAAAGTTTTATGATGTATAGAACAATATTCTCTACTTAGCAAGAAATGTTAGCTTTGGGTTGTACCAAGTTTAGAAAGCGGGTTGCACCATAAAATGTCCAGGTTTTGCATGATCCCTACCCTTTATGTCTATTTTTATCCATAAATAGTATTACTACTGTATTTTACTTCACTTACAGGTTTCGGTGAGTAAACAACCGAGTTTAGATGATGCGTAAAATGTGACGTAAGGTTATCAATACCAGTCCTAACTGTAGAGTAACGTACAGTGTCGCTTCAGTTAATACGCACATGTAATGTTCTAGAACAGTTTCTTATCTGCAATAATTTTTACATAGTATTCACCATATTTAAACAGAGTTTGTGGTATTTAGATGAGTACCAGGTCGACTTTAGTGAAAAAAAGTAATGAAAACGAAATAAAATGAGTCATAATTTAATAAGAATTTGAAACAAAGAATAAACTGTAATATATATATATATATATATATATATTAAGAATCCCAAACAGTTGAGTACAGAGCAACCAATTTAAATCAGTTAAATCTTTTTCACCATTTAGACAGACGGATAAATATATATTACACAAAGAATTTCAAATAAATGTAGTAAAATTTGATAGTACGATAAGTGTTTATGTTGTAGTAGTTCGAACTTATGTGATGAATGTTAATTTATTTCAAAGAAGGATTGACAAATATCAATTTATAGAGGCTATATATATGTGATGAAGACAAAATGGATCTGGAGGGTCAACTTATTTTCACAAATATAGCACAGTATTTGGAGTATTTTATTGAATGCACTTAGTAAGAATCAAATTTATTTGGAAAGAAGGAAGAGAGCGAATAAAGTATAACCTACTATATTCTCAATTAAATGGTAGCCTGTACATATAATTCGTTGAATTAGAATTTCATCTACCGTAAGTCAGAAACGTTCATTTTACGAGGCTCAAAATAACTAAGTTGACAGTTCTGTAGTTTCAAAATAATAAGAATACTAAATTTATCTTTATGTCTGATCATATCAGGATGTCGGAAAAAGAAACCACGGGTTGTGATAGAACGAGGGCTTAAAAGTTTCGCACAGACTGCACACAAAATTTATACTTCTATATGATTGTCTAATACGAATGACTCACAAAAGCTTCGTACATCAGACAGAAAAACCGTCAGGGGTGCTAGAACCCCAAAAATCGCTCCACAAACATATTGTTTTCTCAAGTTAATTCCGAAAACTTGAATTTCTCATTTTCACGCCAAAAGTGCTAATTGTTACCTTCAGATTGTATTTCCCACTCGGAAGGACCATGGATGCCACTGGTTCGTTTTGTCTTTTAATAAGTTATTTTGTGACGTTTCCCAAGGATGTTTTACACTGTATATATATATATATGTTTAAGTTTTGTACTTGTTGTCATTCATGCCTCTGTCTGCTTGTGGAATATACACCTTCTTCATCCGGACCTGGTCTTCTCTACTAGCCAGCAGGTCTACAACGCATCGACACAATTTATCTTGCCTTGTTGTTGTGTTACTGAACCTTCGTTCCGTTCATCGACTTTAGGCGATCTCGTGATCTCTTCAAACATGGCATAAACCTAGTTTAGTATAGTCGAACAAACCTTGGGTTCTAGGGTAGTGATCTGCGTCCATACCGGGTAGTGTAAGTCTGATCATGACATGGACTAACCAAAGGAAATTAGGTCCTCAATGTAGAATCCAAACTAAGGTTTGGACTGAAGAATAGCTGTCTATTTGGGTTAGATAAGCGCCCTTGCCCAGTTGAACCTAAAACAAAGTGATTGGGTGAAATGACGGTTCTGAAACTCATCATAAATTTCAATGTACATTGTTATCTAAACAAATATGACCACTCAGCTATCCAACCAATAATTGTTCAATTGATCAAATCTAAATTATAATAAATAAGGAATTTGATAAAGAATGAGGGAAAATTAACAACCACAACGAATGAATGTTATTCTATCCTGTCCGATAGCACACGCAGAGAATCGTTCAAAAGATAATATTTGGTTTCTTTATAACAATTCCAATTCTAGAAGAGTGCTTCAATTCGCAATAAAAAATGCACAATTTCAGTCAATACAAGCAACGCAATCAAAAGGAGGAACAAACCAACATGGCAGCCGCGAAGACTAAGTATCAAGTAAAACAACATATGTGCAATTCAGGAAGAAACATGGAAATTTAGGGAAGGCGTAAGAAGAATGAAAACTATAATAAAATAAAAATATTACCAACTCAAATGGAATCAAAAAGACTAAAAAATGTACGACTTAGGAAGCCACCACAGTACACCACGAGACTTTAAAAATTCCCATAAATAGTAACTATAACAATCAGAATCAGGACATTGTATCAAGGGTAGCAAACACGTCAGCCAAATTAAAATCAACTTTTTTTGTCACGTGCTACTCAAGCCTCTGGAATAGGTTACCAATAAACATCTAGTCAATCCAAACTCTCACTTTAGTCAAATCACCCCTTAACTGCTTTATGGATCAATTCGCAGTTTCCCACGCGCACGATACAGCTTATCTAATTCAAGCTCCATTCGATGACTCTAACGAACAAATAACCTTGTGAATAGACGACTGATTGACAACTTGTGTTCAAATCACAAATATTTCGCCCTCTAATACCCTCTGTAATTCACATTCTATATTTTGCAATCCCAACATCATGTGCTTTTTTCGTTTTTCTTTCCTTATATACTTCGTATTCCTTTTTCATATCAAGTAAATAATCAAGTCTCTTGAGTCTTCTTTTGATCTGCGTAACATGCGGTTTAATTGTCGATGGTGTTGCACACACTGAGCTTTAAAAACACTTTTCACTACGACCCAATAAAACTTAATGAGACAAGAGGATATTCGAGTGGAAAATCGTGAACGCTCGGGAAATGTCCATAGGAACCACCACCAACCATAACACTGCCCAGAAAACATTGATGATGAGGGTGATAATTTTAATTCACCCATGTTTGCTGGACAAAAGATTTTGGTTTTCTGTGGCGCTGTATGACCGGTAACGAGACAACCACTGAAAAGATACTGGGATTTTTCTCTCGAGTTTGCTGCTTCTGTGAGTTGTGTTTTGTACCTTATACTGGTTTTGCTAGTTTACGTGCAGTGGTGACGAAGTAATATAGGCATCTGAATGATTTACGTCACTGATATTTCTTTGAAATAAATATACATTTACCTCACTTCACTCTTCGATGTCCAAACTCACTGTTTCCCTGTTACGATTCTTCACACACTGTGTTTATTTCTCATGGTTTATCTAAAGTTCCATCAGTGGTAGGCATACCTCCCGTTGCAAAGGACCAAATTTTATCAACCACTGTTAATTGTTAGTTCTGCCGCTTTTTTCCTCGTCTTTCAGTAGCGCGAATGTAACACAGAGAAGTAAAATTTGGAGAGGAAATGTACTCGCCAGGGTTACAACTCTTATGATGTGCCAGAAGTGAAAAAATATTTAAGACATATACTATACAGTGCATTCCGTTATTAACATATTGTATTGCTTCAAGACTTCGCATGGTATACACACATTTTAAGAGGGAAGTAAAAGTTCGAGTTCTTATGTTAGGGTGAGTATAAGAAACTCATACACAACAAGATAACTGTTTAAAGAAACTCCCTCACTGCATCGATTAAATAAAAGAACATACTGTAGCTGAATCCTCTCTAACTATTTCGTCCACCCAAACGGCTATTCATTTGTATATCAGTAAAGAACAAACGCTAGGATTGGGGTTTAAAGTTCAGTTATAGCCTTGCGTTAACCATCTGCCGCACCAAAACTGAAAATAGACTATTAATAACGACGTCATTACAAATTACATTCGTAAAGTGAGTAAATAGCATGCAAAAGCAAGTATCGAAATGTTTCATAAAGCTACTAATGTCAGGCAGTTGCACAAGAAAAATTTTATGACGGCCTAACTAACTTTTCATGGTCACTAAGAGTGGTTGTACAAAGGAAGTGAAATTACAGAAAATATGGATAATAACCAAACTTAACACACCGAAAACATGAAACATGCCTTCAGGTCAATGTTTGATTGGTGACAATCATTTTCAATTTGCTGCCCAAGCACACAACTCGTTTTTTCCCTAACTCTTGTTCTGTAAAAATAGGGTGCTGCATGTTGTTTTTCTGCACTACATAGATAGCAAATAGCTGCGATTTGTGGAGGCACGTTTGGTTGTACTGCGGTTCCATTTGGCTTTATGACACTGAACTGATTGTTCGCGTTCCTGGATTGATATCTTATTGACTTTCTGATTACTAGAAGACAAAACATGTTTCTTCAATTCTCGCTGATTTCTGGAAATATAATTCCACAAATGCTTTCTGAATTTGGGTGGACAATGTCCTCAAGGGTTTACTTCAATGGATTTTAACATTTTGCATTCCTCAGCTGCCCACGATGCCAGACCGTTCCTTTAGTCAGGCAAATAATTCTGGCGAGGAAAGTCATGTGATCTCAAATGATGGTAGCTTTTGTGAACTAGATGACCATGTTTGTCCTTCCGATAATAATCTCAATCGTCTTTCACCGCCATCTGCTACTTTCCTAATTCATGGATCAGAGATTTCTCACCATGCTCCTGCTCCTCCTATCAGGTCTTCAAGTACACTGTAAGTCTTTATGGAACGTTTTATTCCTGAACATGTTCTGAAATTTGAATTTTCCTCCCTGATTGAGTTACTAATATAAAATATCGTTGTCTAGTCTGTTAGGACAAGGGCTTAAGGGGAGATTGCGGTGGTTATCGGTTAAATTCAACTGCTGGGAATCCTGGACTTTCGTCCCTGACGTGAATGAAAAATTCGCAGCAGACCATTCGCAACTGGTTATTGTAGTCTGTAACAATCGAATGACTACTAAGCCACTACGGAAGGTTAGTTAGCAATAGTTTTCTGCTAACCTTAAGTTATAACACTAGCTTATAGCACTCGACGAGATCATAATTTATAAACGACCTTGAAGTGATGCCAAGGTGAACTTTTAGAAATTTACCATCTTACTAGGGCCAGGAGAGTATTTGAGGTTACAAGTCAAAGTTAGGGGTTGGGGTTAAGGTTTTCCATCGCACACTTATATCAGCTATAATCTCAAAGTGCCATTTAGCTGTGTGAATGGCTGGATTTCGCGCCAAAATTCAAGACTTGCTGTCCATAAATTACGGTCTCGCCTATCAGAGATAGCTGTATGTCATAACTTACCTTCAAAAGTAAGTCGCTACTCAACTTAGGATACTGTGTTCTACATCCTAATTGCTTAGGTTCTACACAGTAAAACTGACAAACATACTCAACTACACTTAAAATCAAGTGACTCTCAAATTGAACTTTAAAATTTTATAATCAGTGTTAGCCAACCAGAGATGAGTTGAGTTTCATTCGTCAGAGTGAAATGAGTCTATTTTTAATGTTTGGCTATATGACCATGTTTGTTTCTTCCATCATATACAACTATAAGTAGTTTATAGGTTCCCAACTTGATTCCTCATTGGTATGGATACGATAATGGTCTACAAAATTAGATTAGTAGACAACGATTTTAAAATCACACCCAGATCTGTCAAGGTATCTTGGAGTTCTTATTGCCTAGTACATCACTAATAGTCTGGTTGAGATTTATTTATTTAGCTTCAGATGAATCAGTCCTTACTAATTAATTCAGGGAACATAATGTTGACACAGACCATCTTACGTGTCTTTGAGTTAATATCTTCATACAGCTGTTCTCAAGCTGATCCTTCTATATCCACGTGAATCCCTGTTTTCAGAAAGCGGTCCATATAAATTATATTTGAGTCAAGCACGTCAGGTAAACTTCGGATGTCCGATTATTAGTTTTATGAAGAAAGTTTCTAACTCATATACTTCAGTACAAACCTCAAAATGTATTGTTCGCTTCTCATATCTTAAGCGTATGGTTGATACGTCCGTGCACCAAACTTCAATGCTGTGAATGAGACAACTTTATCCTCTTCTTTCCTTACCCACTAGAATGAGAAGTTTAGTGCTTGTGTAAAAGCTTTGTTGGTCAAGACCTTAGGAGAATTATCGTTACAAGTGAAAGCACACTGAAAGTCCATGAACGAAATTCACTGAACAAATTAATGTAGCAAAAATATGTTGACAGTTGACCTTAAACTGATATCCGAACTTAAAACTGGTTTTTTCATAAGTTATATTTAGGAATTCTACATCCCCAACAATGATGTAACCATATTTGTTCCATAACTCATTCAACTTGCTTGTGATTGATGTATCTTACTATATCAGATCAGTTATTTGCTCACCATTGTTTTGATCGGGTCAATAATTAGTTTAAGGTAAATCGGTAACCAAATGTACGTTCATGTGATTTTAGCCACCAAGGTTTTATAAAGGCTAGTATTACTGTCATATATCAAAATGAAGCAAAGCTCTTAGCTGTAGCTCAACGACTGAAATTTGAGTCCTTTAAATATTAAGTAACTCCAAGCTGCATTCACTTCGTCTGCTACTAAATCTAATTAACGGTCGTTTAGTATAAACTACGTTAGTAAATGCACGGTCAACTGTAGCTATTAAACTAAAGTAGGGAAGACTCATTGGTTTGGTTATTATTGATCTGAAACCATTTCTATGTTTATCAGTGTCTTAACGTGTATATTGTAAAACTAGACATTATTGGTGGACACCAATTTATCGTGGTTATCTTCAAAGTGAAATTTTTGCTGTAGTAAAAAGTAAACAAAGTTTGGTGGTCGGATAAGACACTCCAAAACTACCGCTTAAATGTATTTGTTCATCATGGCTGGTCGCGTCCCCTAATTTTTATTTAACTTTGTTTTAAGTATGCTCTTGGGAACAACAATATTTACGTAACGTAGAGAGAGACTCACTTATCTACACCAATTTCGGAGACGTAGTTTTTTGGTAGGGATGCTGACACCAGTTCTTGATCGCCCTGAGTAGCAATTAAAAAAGCATTCAGAATACGTTTACCTCCCTCTAAATGCAAAATGTTGCTCCAGGCGTAGTCTTTCTCATTGCATATTCTTATCATAGAGAGTAAAGTATCTAGTGGCAAAGACAATGTGACTTTTGTTGAAAGCTTTATCATCCATGATAGTTTAGGCAGTAACGAAATCTCAACTCATTGACATCTCTTCGGCTTTTACCAGTGACGCATATATATTTGGTGCCCCTTTGTACCAATATTTGCGTTCATGATTCATGAATGATGTCTCCTAATCAAAAGACTGGGATGGTCTATAAAGCGGAAATATGCGTAAACTGCAAGTATCTCACCATAGATATCTTCGAAGTATTGCGTATGTATGGCAGTTGTGCCTTAGTAGTTAAAGCACTTTCAACTAGAAAATCGCGGATTCGAACCACGTTTTATCTACCTTTGTTTACAAAGCCAGGTTTTATCGTTAGCCAGCACACTGCCTCAGAGTATATAAAACCTTTACTTGTTGAATAAGTATGCAACCATCGAGTGAACAGTGCTAGTTGTATAGGACATTACGTGCAAGTAGAAATTCGATTTATGAGGCTTTAGACATTCATAGACCGAGGTAGCTAATATATGTGTTACTTATGCCTAACCATTACGTACCCCAACACAATGATGACAGATAATAGGCTAGACAAAAGCTAGGGGTGCCCAAACTAAACAGTGACGTTACTCTATGAAGTCGTCGACTTTTCACCTGAGCCGACCGTTATTAGTGGTTTGAAACATTAGTTGATAGCTCAAAATCGGCCTCTGCGGCACAGATCCATTCATCCTGCATTTTTCTGTAGTGTTCTAGTCAGAATAGTCATACTTTATTCTGTGTTCATTCTTCCTTTTCAAACTAGGTTCGCGATGCCTGGTTTTTTATTAATGGACACTACTACTTCGACCACTGCTATTTCATCTTGTCTTTCTAACGCGGTGTAGCAACTTAAGTCTATGCACCTCTGTCTCAGATTCTACAAAGTTTATGGTTAACTAGTTGACTTGGTATATTCTAGTGGACTTAGGTAAAATGATAGTTTTCATCTCATTGTGGTCTCTGCATCCTAAGTGTTTTTTTAAAGGAAACTAACAGGTTGTACAACTTGTACTATCGATTTTTCAAGTCTAGGGTGGTACATGTTAACCGAAATTCATATTCCTGTGGTGTAACTCAAGTGTTTCAACATGTTTAGATCATTAAAATTATGTAAACTTTTGAACAAAATAGACAAGGCTTTATTTGATATTCACATGACCTAGTGAGCGAAGCAGCATATGTAATAACCCATTCTATTGTTATCTACTGATTCTCAACAGTTGGTTGGTGTTCTTCAGTAACAGAACTAACAACCTATTCATTCTGCTTGATCAGTTATGATAACCGAAAAAAGTGCTGTAGGTAGGATGACATGGACTTTATACTCAGACTTACTTCAATCGACTTACAAAACAAGCGTAGCTTTATCAGGAAAAAACACGAACGGTTTATTGGATCATTGGCCATTATTTAAGTCGATTGAAGTAGGTCTGAGTAGAAAGTCCACGTGGAGTTCGAAGTAAACAGAATTGCCTGCAACTTCATCCATAACTAAGTCGAGAAAAAGATGATGAAAGTAAATAATTCCTGGCTTACATCACTAGTTTTCGGTAACTAAATAATTATGTATTGTCCGTCAATTGATAGTATACGTCTACAGACTTCCATAAGACTCCTTAGTCAAATTTAAATATGGCCTTCTAGTGAGATAACACATCTAATGTGGAACATCAATATATGTTCTTTTACTTCAAAAGAGGAATGATCGATGCTACTAACATTACACCATCAACCGGGCTAGTTTCCGGAAATATCTCACCCTATAATTCTATTTGGGCCGTTTGATAACAGTAGGTCCTGGAATTTTAAAAACTATCATTCAGACAGCTCCATTTCTGATCATTAAAATCATTCTCTACAACCACTTGTACTGACAATCATCATGTATTTACTAGTGGCGAGCTTCGAGTGGTAATTGTCGAGGTTTCAGAGAGAAAGATTGACCATAGGGACCTGACCGTGTTCATCATTTGACAAATATCACCAATTGGAATAGTCGCATAATATTACAAGATGACTGAATTTAGATACCTAAACTGCTGTATCTCAACTCAGAGGTCTAAAAGTTAAGTATTGTCCGCGTGACCTAGAAGTCTTGAGTTCGATCCCTATCGAGGTCGTGAATGGATTGTTCTGAGTTTTGTTCTAAAACAAAACAGTTGTCCAATATCTCATGGTTTTTAATGGTTGTCTGGCTCAAGTTATTACGTGGTATAAACCTACTTATTACAAAGGTGCTCACTTTAGATTGTATACCAACTTCACTGATCTACTGATTGAATAAAAGATATATTTCAATGAGTTTTAATAACCTATTACTGTCATTTTGTAGGCGTAAAAAGAATAAACCTGTTTTGCCTCCATCAAAACCTTTGCCAACTCCACCTGGGAAAGGAGAGAAAAAGAAAAAAAAAGGTTAGTCTTCTATGAAGTTTTGTTTCACCTCTTTTTCATCAAATAAGAGTCACTAGAAAAAGCATATTAAGTTCCATATATTTGTGGGTTGATTTTGTCATTCTGTACAAAATATTGTTAGTTAAATCTTCGGAATAAATTAATGTGACTTTCTAAGATATATAAATATCTATGACTAAATATCTATTCATGTGAAACAATTTGCATAAGTGGATGGGAAAAGAAATTTACTTAAAAGGCCATTGGTTTAAGAATTACATTCCCTTTATTGATACCTGCTTCGGTCTGGGCACCCGGGCAGTATCACAGCCCACACATAGATCAGGTGACTTGTCTGGCGCATATTCATTCGGTGCCCCTTTGTACCAGTATTTCTGTTCAAATAAATAAATAAACCTTTATTGATAAGTAATTAAGACCTAAAGGGTTAACTTTATTTGTACCACTATGACCGACTTAATCTATATCATCTAGATTCGCAAACCATTGATTTCGGATCCATCTCAGACACTATATATGAAGACTAGTTACCTTTGTAGCTCAAATTTTATGCATGGATATCACCATTTCTTGCCATATTAAGCCTTTTTTATTCTTATTCAGTTGTCAAAACATATTATGGTCAACGGTTGCTAGATCTTCATTGTACCTGTTTCAATCGTAACGTGTAAGTAATAAATTCATCAGTTAGTTTCACTATTTGAGGTAACTGTCTACACCGAATCTCAACACCTGCTTGGTTATCTAAGCACTGGGAATAGTTCAAAAACTTTGGTATCTATGTTCATACAACCCTTGAGTGTCTCTCGTTTAATCATTTCATGTCTTTTGAGTAAGATAATATAGCATAGTACACTTGACTAGTAATAGGCATTTGAATATCTGATTGAGTTAAATAAATAACCAGATTGTATGTTTTTTTATTGTCCTATACCTGTTATACTAATCCTGGATATTTTACGTTTATTGCTTGTGTGAATTATCCCTTTTATACATCTTACTTTCATCATTCAGTATTAAGTAGTCAGAAAAATGTTTGGTGTCTATACTACGGCATAAACTGAAGCCTAGTTTCACACCATAAACTCATTAGTACGAAATAAAACACTTAAGTATACGTTAACATGTCCATACCATATACATAGTCTACATCTGTTCATGAAAACAGACATACTAGTCTGTCTAAACTTGATGATATTGAAAAAATAACATGTTCAATATTCTTTTGTTGAAAGTGTGCACATGTTATTAATTTTTCTAGCCCTCTTTCTATCCCACAATCTCGCCTATTCATGCTACACTTGCATACTTCTCTATATTTAAACGTTTATGACTCATCTTTTTTGTTGTTGTTACGTCTTTATTCCTTCATTCTTTACTAGTCATATGTGGTACATCACAGTATATTTATGACATCTATTAAGGAAATATTCATTTATTCTGATTTCCTATAGAATGTGTTGATATTGTGCTATTAAGCACATGAGTATTATGATTAACCTTAACAAGTACAATACCAGAGTGGAGTAGAGCGTGATGAAAATGACTAGACAATTTATCGTTTCATAAAAAATCACATGTACGGTGTGGAGGATAAATGATAGTCCTAGTAGTATCAACATTCACTTGTGACAGTTTTTTAATCTCCAGGTTATGTGAGCCATCTAAGCTATAATTTCCGTATTACGTGATTACACATAAATCATGATCCAAAGTGAATTAATGTCAGGTGGCTTGGTTGAAAACAATAATTCATCATAATTTTAGCGTGGTTATTCACGTATGCCAACTAAGATCGATGGAAATCCAGTCAAAAAGTATCAATAACGGCATGATTCAACATTATTGCAAACTAAGTTAAATGCGATTTTGAGAATTTCTTAGGGTATTAAAACACGATATAGTTGTAGCATTAATATGATAAACATCCTATGTAGCTAGGTGGTTATTTAGAAGCACTTTCAAGCCTACTTCAAATAGTATGAAATAGTTATCCTATTTTATCAGTGAACCATAATTTTTCGTAGCAAGAATGTGAAATTTGTACCAACTAAGTCGACACTTAGTTGTTTACTACATAATTACCTCAGCAATTAGAAATATTTCAACTATAGGCTCTGTATAGATTTTATTCTAACTGCTTTCGCGCTTTTTTGTTGAAAATATATTACAGCACCCATGTTTTTTAAAAAAAGATTGAACAGTGTTGTTTTGCATACTATATATCCCCCTATTACTATTATCAGTCGTACTTATGGATAGTTCTTAAAGGATTATCAGTTATCTGATAATGAACTAATGGAAATTCGTAACTTTCCATGTGACTACTTGCTTACATTCCTTTAAATCTTATATATATATATATATATATATATATATATATATATATATATATAATTGTACTTTTACTTTTGTGACACCCAGTCTTCTTCACTTAACAGCCATCTTGTAATGTTGATTTTAAAAAGGTCACTGGATTAGTGTCACTGTTTCTGTATCATTTTTACTTTCTTATGGATGCATCTCATCTGCAAAAGACAATAATATGTTGCTGATACAATTCTTCTTGAGTCACAACATATGTTAGATAATTAGAGTAGAATTAATGTAACTAGTAAGAACTATGTAGATTATTATTATTATTAATATTATTATTATTATTATCATTATTATTATTATTATCATTATTATTATTATTATCATTATTAATATTATTATTATTAATATTATTATTATTATTAATATTATTATTATTATTATTATTATTATTATCATTATCATTATTATTATTATCATTATTATTATTATTAATATTATTATTATTATTATCATTATTAATATTATTATTATTAATATTATTATTATTATTATTATTATTATTAATAATAATAATAATAATAATAATAATAATAATAATATTATTATTATTATTATTATTATGTGCCTCACCCACTCTTGTATGTGTCTGTGTTTAAACTTATTGCACATTGATATTTTTACCATGTGTGTAAAATTTTGTTTCATCTTTTTTTAAATCCTGATGTTTAAAACGTATTTAAATTGCCTAACTCCTTTAAACCATTGTATGTATCATATGGGTACAAAACAGTTATTTTTCATTTTGTCTAATTTCTGCGGATTCACTCATAATTCAAAATATCAGTTTATCCCATTATCGATTGGTAGTTATGACAAAAAGAATCTCTGAGTAGTTCTCAGTCATTTCGATGCATAGTTGCATCCCCTTATTTGTTATTTTGCTGGCAGAAAGACAAATAACTATGCTTTTATCTAACTAGAATGACTATTAAAAAGTACATAAACGCCGTTAACAATTGTGCAGGTAGTGAAGTGTAGAATTTGCAAATTATTTTACTTTTTGCACACTCACTAGAATTATTGATGTGTCAAGTATGGGACTCAAACAATCACTTTTTCCGTTTTTATAACTAAATGAACTGTTACTGATTTCCCCTTCTTTTATGAATGAATCTTCAATCCAACCTTCTTTCGTTGTGAACAAAATATTCTTTGTGTGTGCGGTATTTGCGTACATCTATATAGCAATTGTTTTTATTTAAACTCATATCAGTTTCTGTACAAATGGAGCTTATCATCATTTTAACATATCTCAATCATTCATCTAATAAACAATACTTTCATAGATTACATACCGCATTATCCTTAGCACATTGCCGACGAGTCCTATACTACAAGGAAACAGTTCGGTGCTTTCTAGTTTTCAATAGTTGTTTAGCTAAAGTCAATGCCTGATGCATTCTATGAAAATTCAACAGTCTCTACTAATCTATCCGTAACAATACCTTTTTCTGAATCACTTACAAAAATAAACACCTTTTTTATTATATGGTTAAATCAACTTGTAGGTAGATGATCTTTAATGTTTTTTTACTTACCTAGTGAAAATGTTCCGATTTCCTAAATTCGGTCGGTCAGAAAAAACTGAGCCACAAATTTCTGGTCCTACGGAAGTTACGCATAATCTACATGTGGCATTTGATAAGTCCACAGGCGAAATCAAGGTTAGTTGACTCACTATTTTTCTTTGACTTTTAAACTTGCTTTCATAGTAGATCTTTGGTAAACCATCACTAATTACTATTAATATTATATATATATATATATATATATATATATATATATATATATATATATATATATATATATATATATATCATAGCTATCATTGTATTTAATCAAGAGTTTAAATTTCAATCTTTAAAGGAACAAAAAACATTTTCATGTTCATATACACGTACCTTTACAAATATTCACTTATATGCCATATTAATTTTGTATCTTTAAAAATCTTACTTATTAACCATGTTTGTTTTTTATGCAATTTTATTCGACAAATCATATGAATCAGCAAACTGTATTTAGTTTAACGTATGAGGACAGAAATCCGTTTTCGTTTTTACTTTGTTTATGATAGAAGAATAATTTTAGACAGGAAAACTATTTATCATATGAAATATATTCATCAGAAACATGAAGAAAGTCGATTAAAATAGACTCATTGTTGTTTACAAGTTTTACTTTGATGATGCTTGGAGCTCCCGATAATTCCTCGAGAAAATCTCCAGAAGTCGGGTAACGCTGAGAACTCAGTTAATCAGCATTGAATTGAAAAGTCTCTGAAACAAGCAAGCAGCTTAATTGAATAATTAATTACCTTGTTACTATATTTAGTATATTTCCGGAAGCTCAGAGTAGGTTGAGACCACACTTCTCAAATTATCTGTATATAAATATGGAAAGTTTAACTGATGTTTCTGTTTATTATTATTGTTATGATTTTTCTAGGAGGATTTGTATCTGGATAGTTTTTATTGAGGTATTTGGTATTCAGTGTATTGTTCCCAACTTGTTACTGTTTATTTGAATCACTGAATCGATGCACCATTTTTATTCTATCTTTTTACGTTTAACTTCTATCTATTCGGAGTTGTGATGTATATCTACATGATAGTTGAATTCGTTGCTTCGTAGTCTTCAGAAACACTTTACTGTTAAATAATGAGTTATACTTTCAAACACTTCAATTCAATTACTTCGAGTCGGGTAGTAATAATAGTAGTAGTATGGTGAACTAATACTTGGTGGGGAAGACCAATTTATTGTTTAATACTAAATCGCAGTGTCTTCATAAAATATGAAATCCATACATTGAGTTGTTCATTTTCACACCTCCCATCGATTGTCTTTTACAAACTTCTTCGTTCCTTCGTCCCGATTGTTGTTACAATTACTCTCTTCATCCTTGTTCTCTTCAATTTGATCTCAACCTTTTGATACCAAGCATTCCACTTCTGATTGGTGTTACATGCTACTTATGTCTGCCAACGTAAGTAGTAGTATATACCACATTTGTGGTCATGTAGTATGTAACTAAAACAAAAATAAAATGTTCCTCCAATCTGAGTCTTAATTCTGTATATGTATACTGAGTTTTATTAGATCTAGAATTTATGATACAATCGTTGAAATCTGTCAAGATTTCTTCAATTAGTTTTACGATTGCAGTGTACTACCTATGTCCGTTATCATTTGCTTAAATTTAATCGTAGTAACAAGATTGTTTCAAATTAACTGTAATAAAGCCGGGATATTTTAATCTAATTGTCGTGATTGTATAAAAAGTGTTACTTCAATTAAACCGAGTTTAATGAATTTCAATTATTACGTCAATTATTATCAATTAAATCTAATGTGTTAATTAAAAATAAAAATGAGGATTTAATAATATAATGGATATAAAACAATAATATCTCCCCAAATATGTTGTACTACATTTGGGACGAAAATCTATTGCATATCTTGGTCCATTCTTGCTTTTTACTATCTTAGTGAATATGTATCCTTCATTTTACACTCTCCTTATCTAATGTAATTTATGGCATACAGCCAAATCATGTGATTTGTATGTAGGAAATAAGAAGTATATTTTTATTTAGATAGTTATTGTTAATTTCATTGTTTTTCTTTCCCATTAAGCTACTTACTAGTCACGTAGGCGAATTGTTGCATAAACAATCTATGAAATAACACAGACAAATACATCCCAAGTGTATATTTTATCCAAGTTAGATCACTTAGGAAACATTATATTTGAGTGAATGATTTAATCATATGTGCAATTATTTTTTCTGAAAGATAACACATCAATTATGTGAATGATTATAAACTGATGTATACATTACGCTTATTATTTTTATTTACATTTAAAAAATATAAGCTTTAATTGTTCACTCATTTGACAAATTGAAACGATTGTTTTCAAGAATTAATTGATTGTCGATTATGTTTGACCTTTTGTTCGATTTTTTTTCCTTTCTACTTCTTCCTTTACTAGTTTCACTTTTGTGTCTGTCATACAAATAGTTTTTTAATCAGATAAGGGTTTTTATAGATATTATAGTAGTCCCATACTAGGACGAAACGGCCGTCCAGTGCTTCCAGGTTTGCCATGGTGGTCTAGCTTCAATTGACTCATGAATTCAACTATTACGATAGATTTTTCTTTATTATTCACCCTGTCCGTTCGTTTTTTGATATCAAAAATCATTACCATTCTCTTTCTGTATGACACGTGATTCAACTAACATAAATACCATGTTATGTATACTGAGTAGCATTTGCACTGTCATGTAGAAGTACACTGAATCTAACTGCTTATTTCCATGGTATAACACAAAAATCCTAAAGAAATAAACCTGATCATGTATATATTTTTTCTCTGGTAAGTTTCTTAAGTATAAAAACAAAAAATGCGCCGACTGAGGCAATGTACGCCAAAATTTTCAATCATGCAATATAAACAGAGTTGTCAAAAAAAGGCTCATTTCAAAACTACAAGAAAATGTTTTAAAAAATGTAGAAAAAAGAGAATTTATACATTTCCATCATGTTTGTCTAAATAAAGATTACAATTACCACGACTTTTCCATCTTTCCACTCACTGGTTAACAACTTCATGGATCGATAATGCTATATTCAACTGTTTCTGTATGTTTTTCAGTTCACTTGTGTATGCGTTTTAGCTATTGAGAATAAAACTAGTATTCAAATTTATTGGTTACTGTTATCGACTATGGCTATAGTGTTTGCTTTTTTTTCTCCCAACTTTATTTTTTTTATGTTATTTATACATAATTGTATGTTTAATTCATTGGCTTAATTGTTCACTGTTATTATTCTTATAGTATCTACATTCATTGAGATAAATATTATTTATACATAAACAAATATTTTATTAGTAACAAATGTGGGACTTGGATCTAAAATTCATTTATATTTAAACAGGATTTAATTATTTTCATGATGTCTTTAAATTCCATTTATTAGATCCAAATTGTTTAAAATTATTTACTACTTAATGAACTGAAGTGAAATTTAGGGTTTGATTATGCTTCATTATATCATATTTCTGGTGAAATTTATCATTGGTAAAATCTATGAATTTTTAAATGTAACAGTATTTCACGTATTAGTCTACCGATTCAGTTATTCTCAACAATAGGAATGAAGAAACAATACAACATATTTCGGTCACCTTGGGAGATAAATGTATATATATATATATATATATATATATATATATATATATATATAAGGTGCACAGCAGATACATGAAAGTGAAAACTCGTTATTTTTATAAGTTTTTTGGCCAATATTCTGTTAATTAATTTTTAAGATATATATATATATATATATATATATATATATATATATGATTGACCATTTAATCATACTTTTTCTATCTTTTCTTTGTTCATTGTATATACCTAATTTTTAAATGTCATTAGATGTTAACTTTAATAAGCATCATTCTATGTCTTCAGATAGAAAATTCTGTTGTCTTTCTCTTTTTCCTATATATTTAAGCAGTTTATTTTCTTATGACAGCGTCTAATAACATTTTATTTTGTAAAAAACGGTTTACATTAATATGATGTCTATCTAAAATTTTCATAAAGAAATACACGTGTCCATGGAGTCGTAAATCAGCCACGTTGTTGTATACTTGTTTGTGTCTGTACTTTGATAATAGTTATATTGTAAAATGATTGAATTAGTTTCGTCATTTGTTTCTTGGCTTGTATTTTATTTTCTTTTATTGACGTTGAGTTTTTACTTTGTTGAAATGATTAATATGGATTGCGTTCAGCGTAACATTATATATAACATTGTGTTTGTGATTTTTTTAGGGTCTTCCTATTTCATGGCAGATGCTTTTAACAGCATCAAATATATCACGAACAGAACAAGAAAAGAATCCAGAAATTCTTCTTGGCGTACTACAATGTTTTGATGAATCGGCTAAACAGAAAGATAAATATATGACAAATGTGTCTGTCATTACAAGTATGTTATTTTTTGTTTAAATCTGGGGTCTAGAAAGAAGTCGTTGCATGAATTTTGGTACATTCATTATTTCTTACACGTGACCAATTTAATGGTCATGTAAACAACTGGTCATTGATTAATAATCACGGTTTTGCTGTCTTACCACAGTAAATTGTCTGTCAATAAGTTGTTTATTGGTATATGGGTTTGTGGAGAGCTTTCAACCTCCATATATCACATCACGGACTAATCTTAGACCGTCATTGAGAACCAGGAATTACCGGAAAGTTTTGTCGTAGTGTGGGATTTTTACTCAGTCCTCATCCATGACCCCACTGGTGATTGCTTTCGCTGAGAGAGCTCAACCTTTTGACTATTGAGTTGGCATCCAGTGGTTCACAATTTTAACTTTCATCTATTTGTGATATTGCGCTACCATCTATCATTGCCTATGAACCGGAATTTGTGGGTTCGATCCTTGGTGGTGCAGAGGAGCCCCATTCTGGGACGAAAAACTCATCCACTGCTTCCTGGTTTCAGTGGTGGTCTAGCCAATATCAGTTCGTGATGTAGTTTATCGAAGTGGTTTATTCTTAACGCTAAATTAGAAATCGTTCCAAGTTTTTCCTCACACAGTTTAATAACCAAAAAGTCTTAATAAAAAATGCATCACATTTAAATTAATAATGAATGATTTCGTGTTCTTCATAAACACCGATTTAACCATATAAAAAACTTAATACTATTATGAAATCTAATCAATACTGAGCTGGACGGGTTTACCTACCAATAAATAATGATGTGATCTTATCCATGAGAAGAAAAACTTTTATACAGTAACATGAAATCTATTTTATTTCGATGCTTCTATTCAGCTACTAAGAGACCAAAAGTGACTAGTCCAAGGCTTAACCTATGGATTTATGATTCTTAGTTGGGATCCAGGAGGTCAATTCTGCCAACATAGGTACATTTACTTTAAGCACACTTTCTATTCACCCTTTAGTTAACCTCTATTTCTTCCAACTCTCCACTGTTATTTGCTATTTTCAGCCACGTGGTTCTCGGTTCGTCTATTTTTTTTCACATTGTTCTTATCTAAATTTGGGAAATTTGAGTCGATACACACTTTTTTTCTCATTCTGTATGATCAAACTCTTCCTATCATACGTATTCGACCATAATTGGTGAATTAATAAGTGTAATCACAGAAGTGTACACACTAACCAATTACAAGTTTTTCACAAGTTCAACAAAGGATCATTTATACCGTAATGTTTATTACTTCTTTACATACTGTTCACTTCGTACTACTGTTTGTTCATTCTGTTCTTCCATCTCACACGAGGTAATTGCTTTTTAAATTTAGATTCATCTGGCTCCGTTGAATCGATGAATTCCAACTCCCGTTCCTGCTCAGTTTCCTCTCAAAGTATGCCAGTTGCACCAGGTCATTGCGATATCAGCTATTTACATTCGGGCTCCTATCAATCTGCCTCATTTAATTCTACGACATCAGCATCTGCGCCTATTTCAGCGGAGGAAAATAATTTAGTTATGTCAATGGCTGAAACTAGTTTAACAGGAATGACGATCATTTCCAGTGCTTTACCAACAACTACTCATTCTTGTGCGGGTAGCAATAGCAGCGGTCGTGGTAGCAGTTGTACCACTAACAGTGGCAGTGTTGGTGGTCGTGGTGTAAGTGGTGGTGTTCCAAATGGTTTGAGCGCTGCAAGTTTAGTAGAACTAACTTCTAATCACACTCATGGGTGTCCTTCAGGGTCTGGAAGGAGAACAAGCACAGGGGGCGCTGTATTTTTGGGTGGTATTAGTCCAACCCGTACATTTGGTGAACGTGCAAGTGGTTCGACAATTCCTGAAATGTCTCCAGCACTTGGGAATCATAGAAGCACTAACAATACAGGAGATATCGCTCGTTCTGGGCCAGACTCCATGATATCAGCGAACTCAGGAACCCTTACAAATGGACAACTTCTCAATCATAGCCGTCATGCTAGAGATGCCAATTTAGTTAGTGATAATCATAATGGTCATTCAACTGTATCTGTTCCCGCTCTTCCAATTACATATAATGTTAGTCTTGGTGAACTTAGCAGCAGTCGGTAAGCTATTCAAGTGATATTTCATATTACAAGCGCCATTTTGTGGACTTCAAATCCCTTGTCCTCTTTTAAATTAATGGTCATATACTTTATGTGTTGATCTGGTTTGTCAATAAAATAATTTGAGCACCAAATGAAATGTTTAAAATATAGTTTGCTACAAAAGAAACGTTTCTCTAATTTAGAATGTTTTAAATACAAAACAGTTTAGCTAATAAGTTTGATAGCATAGTATAAAACTTGTATAAATTGTGAATTTTGAACAATTAGTTGGTTATTGAAGAATAGTAATAAGTTTTAATCCCAAAAATCATTAGAGTAGAACATTTACTACTCGTCTGTTCATTAGTCCTGTTTTTTGGAACCAGTTATTTATAATCTCTCTAAATGTGTTACATCATTGACAAGGTTCTAATCAAGTTTTTCTTTTCAAATATTTTGTTTTATCATTTACAGTAGCAGTGGTTGTTCACTATCTTGTTCCGGTGCTAGCGGAAGTGTCAGTATTTCTGGTTTAGCAAGTTCGGCTAGTATGGTTGGACATTTATTTGGCGGTATAAATAGTAATGAGAACAGTCCTACAAGTATTCTTCCGCCTAGTATGTTACAATCTCAATCACCGTTACCACATAACAACTGTTGCTCATTTGTCTCCTATCCACCATCATCATCACCACCGCCTGTTCCACCTCATGCAACTACTGTCGTATTAAGAAATTTAGATTTTTCTGAAAGTTGTACAAATAATTTTGAAATTAGTAGTGTTAAAGAAGAAGGTACTCTACGACATACATCTTCATTTCATAATACAATCCCTGAATCATCTGCATGTTTGCCATTCCATGGAGATAGATTAGTTCCAGAATCTTGTATAATGGTCGGAGAATCTTCTTCCGATGAAGAAGAAGAGGATGAAGATATTGAAGATGAAGATCACGAACAAGAAGACTATGAAGAAGAAGGTGAGGAGTTAGGTGAAGATGAAGAAGAGAGCGAGAATGAACAAAGTGAACTAAGCAATAATGAAATAACTACATCTCAGGCTACTGTTGAATGGATGACAAGTAGTGGAACGTGTAGTAATCTACCTACTCCAATGACTATGTCCAAGGTATACTTAACGGCGAATAAATTGTACATTTTCTAAAGCATATATATATATATATATATATATATATATATATATATATATATATCTTTTGTCTTGTATATTTAATCGTGCTATAGTAGTAAGGTTTGTTATGTTTCGTTCTAAGGATGTGGCGCGTCTTGTAAGACGGAACCATTCTGTACACTGTATGGGCGAAATGAAACTAAATGTCTTGTTCTCATAACATTGTTTATTAAACATATTTTGCGTTATTTTTACATCAATTTTAACTTCTAAAATGATGAGATTCCCTAACATTCATATCCATATTCTATGTCCTACATATAGCATCTTACAGTTATATAATATTATTTGACCATAGGTAGAAATGATTTTATAGTCTTTATTAAATAACCGGGTAAATAAGTAAACTTATCATGACATTTTATTGATAATTCTAGTTTTCTTTATACTTTCTAACCATTTTTACAAAATGTATTACAGGGATCTGAAAATGGTGTTACCAGTGAAGCTTTTGATAATCGGAATGGTGTACTCGTTTCAAACAAAACAACTTCAACAAATAGTGAGAATATATCAAATTTGGTTAGTACTAGTAAGTAAATTGAGTGAATTTCAGTATGGTATTATCACCAAATTTACCCGTCCAAATCGATGACAGTAATAAAATATATGTGTTTTCATGCGTAGGTTTTAGTTACTATCTTGATTCACAATTACTGACCCCTCCCAATACATACTTATATACCTTATTTGTGGAGGTTTCGCCAAGGGTCTTTGGATTTAGAGAAAACTAATTATTCACATTGTAGTCTCTCAAATCATAATTTGCTAACTATAATTGCATTTTCCTATGTGCCTATATCAATTTATGAATCTGTTTATTCCTCATAGGTAAAGATACTGGGACATCGAAGATCATCCAATCATCAACTTCCGATAGAAATGTTCCACCAGCTGTTCCAGTCAAACCACAGGGTTTAACACATGTGTTTCGCACACAACAGCAAACTAAAATACACCAATCTCCTCATTTCTTCCCACATCAACCGCCTACAAATAAAATAGATTCAAGTAATACTGCTACGATTACAACAACTACCACTTCTGCTGCTGCTGCTGAAGATGTAACCAAATCGACTACACCTAGTGCACCTAGACGTCGTACTGGAAATCATCGATTAACAGATCAGCAGGTACATGATAAATTAAGAGCTATTGTAAGCAAAGGTGATCCATATCAAAAATATCGTATGGTTGATAAAATTGGTCAAGGGTAAGTTTTTTAACAAAGATTTATTTTCTTTTAATTTCGTATCACTTCAAGTTTTCGTTTTCTTAGAGTAGAACAGCTATTAGTTTTTTGCTTAGTTCCAAAAATGTAGGTTCCCCTATGTCTAATTATCGTAACTTAAAGGCTGTTTTAATAATATTGAGAATAGGACAGTAGATTCAAATTACTCAACAACTACTGGATGAGCCATGAGCTGTCTTTATTATGTCTGAGTTATTGATACTTCCGTATCGCTCGAATCCTTTTGAGTCGAGTGCTTAACTCATTTGATAATCAGATAGTTATATCGTTGTAATATCAGTCTACTTAAATTCTACTATACTCTCACTTACGGATAAATAATTGTAATTAGAGATTCTGATGAGAAAATATGGGCAGTTTGTTCGATTCTACCACATGTGCTGCTATCAGTGAGAACTTTTTAAAATTAAGTTTTGTGGTTATTTAAAATAAGTCGATTATGGCTAGGAGTGGAATGCAACGATACTCGTGTCGTCCTACTTGGGACTCGTTCTGGATTTCATTACTAAACATAATCCATCTATTCTAAATAACTTGTGTCATAATCGATATATCGAAGGAATCTGCATAAATGTATAAGTATCAACAAAACTGATCAAAGTTCCGTCGCGAATATTAACGAGATAACTCTATCCTTTACTAATAATGATATGAGTTGCGAGATTTTTTGTACTTTTAGATTAGTATATCCCCAAAATAAAAAGTTCATCGGTTTCTCTAAAAATGAATTTCATCGTTTTACACTACCTTAGAGAGTAGTTGAAATCCGAATTTTATACCCTACTCTATTTTAGGACTTACCGGGGTGAGTAGATCAGAAACACAGTGTATTCAGTTAGCTACGTGATGTACCGTTTTGATTTATTTATTCCGAGATTCATTTGAGGCTTTTTGTACCATAGTTAATATGTATCTTAACCTGAGGTTGGGGAAAAATACATTTGATTAGAAGTACCTCTACCATATAATCATTTTAATCCTACCTTTATTTATTACAGTTAACATTATCTCTTATGTTTTTAAGCATTGTTAGTTTCAAGTTTTCAAATTCTAAATAGCTTGTCTCTCCGATATCATAGTTGATTTGTACATAACTATCTTGTTAAATGATCACTTCAGCTAATGACAAATCATTTCAAATAAATGGGTGTACTATCGTTAGTCAATAAGTAAAAAACTTGAGTTCCCGTGTTATTGAATTTCGTGGTTCTAGGGAATACCGACTGTCTTTTTTGTATATCTATATCTAGACCATATTATATGGCTTGCTTAAACTTGAAGTAGTTATGAGGCCCAGGTCTTAACTTCCAATCTAATGGTTGAATATTTTAATTATCAAATCACCTCACCACAGGACTATTGTTGATAGTTGATGGATTTCGCCAATCACGCACTATATATTATGGCTCGGAATTGTCTGCAATGATGCAAATGCTTTCACTTCTTGCCTTCCCATATGACCTGGGGATTCGTCCAGAAATAATTTTATCTCGCTGTACTAATATTTTAAAACAACTTAAATCAATGTACATGTGTATCAGGCTCTGCGTTCTGTATGATAGACTAACATAAAATAACTATTATATTATTACTTGACGTAGTTTGTTTGTCAATGGATTTACAATTTCACTTTACATGGTGGATATATCATAAAGCATCGATTACTATTTCATTTCTATTGTTTTTTCTTGAAAAATACATCGTCTCATTGTTGTTATTTTCAGGGCATCTGGTGTGGTGTATAGTGGATATGAGATTGCCACTGGCAGTTTAGTGGCTATTAAGCAAATGAATTTAGCTCAACAGCCTAAAAAAGAATTAATCATTAATGAAATTTTGGTTATGAAGGCTAATCGTCAAGCGAATATTGTAAATTATCTAGACAGTTATTTAGTATCCACTTCAATCTCGACTAATATGGATCATCAGCATTACATGAACGGTTCAAATCACAAGTACCAACAATCAACTCAGAAGGATGATAGCCTCAATTCATCAACAATTAGTTCAGGCAATTCATCTAAAGGTGAAGAACTATGGGTTGTCATGGAGTATTTAGATGGTGGCTCACTGACCGATGTTGTCACTGAAACATGTATGGAAGAAGGACATATTGCTTCAATTTGTCGAGAGGTAAGCTTGTGAAAATAATACATCTGCTTGTTAAGACTGATTTCGTTGTTACCACTATTATTACTACAACATTGTTAGTGAACTACATAATAATTCAAATAGTTGTAGATGTAAATCTTACAGTTAAATTACTTAAATATTTCAAGAATAGCTTAGTGTTTATGACTTGTCCAATTACACGTCCGACCAGCACTATTAACCTTGAGTCAACAGCTAAGTCTCTGTTAGTGTACTCTTTGCAAGCTCCTTTCTATGCCCATCCTTTGAATTCAAAAATCACAACCAGTTTCTACTACAATTATATTTCAGACAGACGTGGGTTATATTCAGACAAACCGGACCTCATCACATAAAATAAAAAACAACAGGTATACATGGACAAGTCAAAAACTCTCTGTGATTAGCGTAGACTGTAAATAATAAACCGGCAATAATATAGGGATAGTAAGTCGTATTACAGTAGTCTCTATGTTAATCGAAAGCTTATAATAAACGGAACACACGTACATAGTAATCTAGTTACTCTGTAAATTATACAACGAAGCTATAATGCATAACAATTCCAAAAACCAGTCCCAACATTTACAATATCCGTTCCGCTATAGCATTATACATGTAAACAACTCTGGTCGGTAGGTGTGAATTTTTTTGAGGGCTAAAATAAACCGGATGTTCAATTCAGATTTGTGCAGAATTTTAGAGTGATATTTTAATAGTAAGCTATTTTGTACTGTTGAAATAGTTTCATAAAGTTATTTCAAGATTTTCAAAGCTGAGTTCAGGAAACTTGTGGTTGGTAAATTATTCACATTATCAACTGATTATGATAGAAGATAGTACAGAACCCAAAAAAGGACGCATTGTGGAATTCGTTACACTTTTCAGTGACAAATGTGTGCAGAGGTTCGAAATGAACAAGAAGAAAAGTAAACAGATAGGCAACAATTTATATGCATGAAATGTGCGTAGATTTTTTCCCAGGGTTAGATGCATATATTTTCCAATTTAATCGATATACTTATCACTACATTTCTTTGCGTCCTCATATGAGTGTTTTTATATACCCTTTCCTATAGGCTGTCTTGTCGTTTTTGTCTGTCTTTTCCTTATTTTGTTCCAAATATTAGCAAATATCTCTCTGCTCTCTCTCTCCTCTCACTTTTTAAAACTCAGTTTTAGGTTTTTGTTACCGTATCTATTGCTTACCTATCCAGTCCAATCCAGTCTTACTCTCTTCTGGCTAAGTGTGTATGTATGTACATATTGCCTTAAGGCCATTATGCATTTGTTACTCCAACTTGCAATGTGTCAGTGAATATAACGAATAAAATATGTCCTTAATTTTTGCTGACCTTTTACTTTTTCTCCTACAAAACCCATGCACATTATGAGCAGTGTAACAAACTCGGGTCTCTACCACCCTAAAACAGTTCCGATAAACTTTTCGATGATGACCTTCAATATTTATGAGAATTACTGAGTATAATAAAAAAATAACAGTAGGTGTATATGGATAACTCAGTCTCCATCACCATCAATTATTGATTTAGTTTTCTGTCAGATAATGAGCTTCAACTATAATTGACAGCGTTTTATTCTCAAATTTAACAGATTGATCCATTACGCATTTATTGATATGTTTAAGAATTGTTTTGTTTCCTTGCCTGTTAAATATATTTGAAAATCTCTATTGTACATTTGACGTGAGACAAAGTAGCAATCATATTCCTTGCTATTTTAACCAATATTTAAATAAATCAATCAGTTCATTTCATCCATCGTTCTTTCCTTCAAATTTATTTAACGTTGTATCATTTATAATTGTCTTAAAAAACAAATTGAATTTCTATACCGATATAAGGTAACATGTTTACTTGCAGTTACCTGGAGGGAGTTATCTGAATATATACGATTTTGACAACGGCGAGAACAATTAGAGAAAAAATCAATTGATATCACATCCGAGTTTTTTAAATTTTATCTTTATCAATAAATATATGTATCTACATTGCTTCCATAGTTATGTTGATGCAAGTAATTTGTTTTAGTACTGACTTGTGTACTAGTCAGTGTTATACTTATTTGATTCAGTATATGGCTTTGGAGATTGTTGAATTTCATTGAAATCATGAACTGATTCAAGTTAGATCACCATTGAAAACCCAGAAGCACTGGAAAGCCTTTTCATCGTATTATGGGAAATGAAAGATGGCCGCTCAATGTCGTGAATCGGTTGTGATTAGACGTTAACACCCTGATCTAGGTTAAGCGCGGGGATCCGAAGCTCTTGGGTTTGATTCTCGCGTGCAGGCTCATGGAGGCGCATTACTGAGAAGTTCCATGCCGGGACGAAATGGTCATCCAGTGTTTCCAGGTTTTTAATGGTTGTCTTACCTAGGCCGGCCCATGTTTTACAAAAGTTAGGTAAAATGTCTACATTTTCAAACGATCCAGTGGAATGATGAAATTCAACTACTTAAACCACAAGAACACTACTGTGTTTAAACTGGTGTTAGGCCGTGGTCAAAAGTCGCATATATATACATATATGTTTACATAAATCCTGGTTTTGTTGCCTCCTACATTGTAAAGCAGTAGTAACATTACTGACAGACGGTATATATTCCTATCACATATTGTCTTGATGATTATAATAAAATTTATTAAAGTACCATGTACGTATGCATGCATGTATCGTATTGTTAGTGAATGTTTTCAATCTACGTCTTTAGAATAGGATTAAAAAATAGAATGTAATTACTGTGAAGGATAGCTACGAGTATAAAAACACTGAATACTAGTCGACCGTAGTATGATATCTTAAAATAATTTCAGTGTATTTACCAATGCACATCCTATCCCTTATGTGTGTGTTCTCATATACTTAACCTCCGTATTTTATACGAATCACTCTTTCTAATATAAGTTGTTGAAATCCAGTGCACTGGATTTTCGTTATTATTTTATCCTACATAACAAAATGTTTTCTTTACCCTGTTATTTTTTTGTTCGAGTAATTTGATAAATACAAATGGTAATTATTATCAATTCGAGCTTATTGGAAGTTTACGAATATTCACTAAAGATGCGTGATGGGGAGGATATTAATTCATAATCACCTAAACGACGACTGATATTTAAAATTATTGTGTTTTCTTCATAGATCAAACTAGTCAACACAAATTATTTTTTTTACACTACGTCATTTGTCATGAGAGTAACTAAATAATTCCAATCGTCAACCCAATGTGAAGTGTTACCGTAAAATGTGCTTTTTGACTTTTGTTTATTATATTATCCTTAATAGATACTACATGCCCTTGAATTTCTTCACGCAAATCGCGTCATTCACCGTGATATCAAATCAGACAATATTCTTCTTGGAATGGATGGGTCTGTAAAACTGACCGACTTTGGTTTTTGTGCACAATTAAGCAATGATGGAACTAAACGTTCAACTATGGTTGGCACACCGTATTGGATGGCACCAGAAGTTGTTTTACGTAAACAATACGGTCCAAAGGTGGATATATGGTCATTAGGTATTATGGCCATTGAAATGGTAGATGGTGAACCACCCTATCTAAATGAAAATCCTGTTCGAGTAAGAATATATTATATCCTGTCTATATAAATAAAATCACTTGTATGTAAGATGTACATATGTATATTAGTCCAGAATCACTCATTCAATTGTCTCATAGTTATCTTGTATCATTTACAATAATTCTCTTGTAAATTCCCCACAAATATTCATATAATACAATTAATCATAATAATTATTAAGTCTGTTTCAATGAAAACTGAACTTGAAAGGATTTCGTTAGTGAGTGAACATGTAAAAATAAAGGTCAATCAAGATTCCTACTGTGCCATGATTTTGTCACTTGTAATAATGTTTGAAGATATTGGATTGTTTGTTCGTTAAAAATGTAACCAGAGAATCATGTTGAGCCAGTACCACCCTTTCTTATGGTAGTCCTCAGTATATATGCATCTCAAAGAGACTTTTTAAGTACCATATATCGGCTTTAACTTTAAATACAACTGAATAGTTCACATTTGTTAAGTGGCTTATTGATACAGCTGAGAAGTACTTGGCTTAACATTCAGATCTTAATTAATTGGAGAATAAGTAACATGTAAACTGATTTCTTCCAATCAGCTCTGTCATTTTGTCATGTTTATTTTGTGTTTATAGTGTATGTGTCAGCAAGTAATCGTATAACATAGAAAAACCTATTGTTCTGGGTTAATGGAGATTTTAAATCATACATGGGTTTCGTCAATGGTATAGCCTCACAACCAGTCATCACTCGACCACATTTCTGTCTGTCAATCGGCATTCTTTCATTTTAACAACCAGAAATTCGTTCATAAAATCACCCAAAATATCTTCATAATATTCATCATTCAGTGTTAAACATATCATACTGTTTATACATTGTATTGCAACAATTTGTTCAACAGTTATCATTGATTTCCACATTCTCTTGTTTTTCATTTACATCAATTATATTTTAGGCATTGTATCTTATCGCTACCAATGGTAAACCGGAAATTAAAGAACGTGATCGCTTATCAAGCACATTTCTTAATTTCCTCGATCGTTGCCTAGAAGTGGATGTAGAACAAAGAGCCACGGCGGTTGAATTATTACAAGTTAGTCATTTTTAATTTACTTCAAATACTGGTTCTTTGTATTCCAGTCTTAAAATGTAAATTTCAGTCATAAATTTAGTATATATATATATATATATATATATATATATATATATATCGTTGTAAACGATAGATATTAGCGCAAATCCCAGGTTGTACAATAGGACGATAATCCTTTACTTTATGAAATTAATTACTTACTCATTATTTCTCATGCTGATAATCCCTCTGTACATTATAATTCTACGTACTACAATGCTTGCGAAAAACACATCAGTTTTGTCTATTTTTAATATAAATCTCTCATAGTTTAACACATTGACAACTTCTTTTGTTTTGATGATATATTCCTTTAATTGTGTTTTCTTGTTTTTCATCTCTCTATTCACAGCATCCATTCATATGCCGATGTTCTAAACCATTGAGTTCATTAATTCCACTGATCAATTTAGCCAGAGAACAGAAATAATCCCAATACAGAATAAAGAAAACCAATTAATTTTTTGTATATTGTTTCCTAAAAATTTCTTTTCCTCATATGTGTTTATTCTGTAATCACAATTCATTTTTACTCTCTATACATGCATATAATGATAATAACAATAATGATTCATATTACATAAAACATGTATGCTTAAAGGGTAGTAATAATAATATTTATAGACTCTGGCTATCAATAATAATAAGTAAATCCAATTTACTCATTTTGGTTCTGTTCACATTTAAATATTCACCTATTATTGTATTACATTTAAAGTTATAGTAATTTTTCTTTTGATGTTTCCTTCTCTCTCTCTCTCTCTCCAACATACAAAAAGTACAGCCGTTCACTAGATTGTACATTACAGTATTTAATCATAATACCCATTATGTTTTTTTTATTAAGGTTAATACCGCTTACTTGTGTTTGTTGTTTTGTAAGCTTTCCCATTCATTTTTCTATTCTAATATCATATTGTTTATAAGTCAAATTATTAACAAGTGTAATATAATAAAAATAGTAATAGTAATACACTTAGGAATCACAATTAATTACTTAATAATTTCTTTTGAATGAATAAACCACTCAAATTAATTAATGTGAACATTCAGAAACATCCATTGGGTTTTTTTCTTAAATTTTACACATATGTGTATTCAATGGGGTTTTAAAACGCAACTACTCACTGTCTTTATATTCACTGTTTATCATCTCTTTAATTGTCAAGTTTTATTTTTATTGCTCACATTATTAGACATATAATGGTTCTTTATTCTCTTCTTTTTTCCGTCAAATATGTATACATACATGACTTTGTAGGGTGTTAAATTTCGAGTATGTTTCTATTGCTTATTCTCAATTTCATTTTCATTTGTACACAATATATTTGATTTGTCTGGGTTGACTGGCCAGAAAAAAAAGAAGAGAACACATTGGGAAACAAACATTAGGTTCTAACTACTTAAGCGCCTTTTTTCTCTTCGAGTAACAATAGTATGTTACATTTAGAATTTTATTTTTCACTGATTAAACTGGAATGAAGAATACACTTCTACATGTAACAATCAGTAATGATTATCTTATTGCATTGATTATACATCTGTTAGTGTATTTTTATGTGTACACGTTATGCTGTATTCCAACCTTCATACATGCATACTTTATTCTTTTAATTTACCATTCCCAGTATCTCACTAACTTTCAAGGGATACTGATCATACATACAGTGGATAATTAAAAAAAAGAAACAAACAACTGATTTACTGCTAATGATTTATTTTCAAAATTATCTGCATTTTGTGTACATCTGTGTGCGTGTGTTCGTGTATTGCCCTTGTCTACTGTATACTCGTAGAAATTTACATTACTCCATATTCATATTGTTCTCATCAATTTTCCCATGTTTTATGCTGATCTATTCCAGGATAGTTATTAAGCCTATTTGAATATGGTAAATCAACTCCATGTATGCATATGGAGTGCCTCATTATTTATTAGGCAATCACTTAATTATAAATAATATTCTCGTCTCCCGGTTTAGCTATTTATATTAAATTAACTACTCAAATGGGTGTATATCGTTAACACCTGTATCATCAGCAAAACTAGTCTTAATGAATTGATGCAAACAAAGGAGTTATATTCACTGTTCTCAAATTTTGTTACTCTTATCTTCTGTCATAATTAATGAGACAGTAAACAGTTGAAAACGAATTTATCTTTGTAGAAATCGTTGGCGTCATAGCTCTGGTCAATTACTATTATCATTCACATCATTATTTTCAAAATCAGTCAGTTAACATTGTTGCATTGAAAGTTTAAATTTAATTGTGTTTCTACCAATCTTTTTCACATCCATCTTCACTTGCTCATTTTCATCATAATAATCTATATGTATTGTTGACATACAGAGAATCTTTGTGTTGTTTTGTCGTAATTCTTCGAAATAAAGCTTATGCTGCCTTCTTTTCATTTCGGTTTTCTTGCATGCTTGCTTTATTATGTTGCTGTATACACCGCAGTTTCTTCTTTATATAAATAATACATTTGATTATTACAGTCCTTTATGCTGAACTTTGTTTTATGCGTTTTTCTTTTTGCTTATTCTGCTTTGGTTAATATGATGCTTATTGTTGCTTGAATACGTGTATTTGTTGCCGATAAACTCACGAAATGTTTTTCCTCCTTTCTTTTACTATCCATTCTCGAACTCATCATTCTACATCTGTATATGTGTTTGTTGGCATGTGTCACATTCTATTTCATTTTGTTGATGGTGACGATAATAGTAGTAATGATTGTTTTTATTTTTTAACTTAGATTTCTTTATTTTTTGGAAGGGAGATAAATTGTCAATATTTACTCGTTTTTCATTATGCATTATTGTACACTTCTTTCTACCACGTTGTACTTGTTTGCTTGTTTCAACTGAAGATCATTGTTTTCTGCTGCGAGTGTTGTTGCTACATCACTTACTTAATACCAATTATGTGTAAGTATTATGACAATGACAGCTTCTACTTTGTAATGGTCTTTTTTTATTTTTTTTCATTTGCGTTTTTCTTCAACTTTTTATTTGTTGTTTACTCTTCGAAACGACACACATTATATCTACAAAATACCTTTTAAAAAACTTACTGGTATTGTTTTATTTTTAGCCTTAACTATCCATGAATATACATGTTTTTTGTTCACAGGCAGAGAATGAATTTATGCCACTTGTTTTTGGATTAAACGACATTAATTCAGTGTTATATTGAGGCCTTAATAATAAATCAACTTGATGATTGTATTCATGGCAAGAATAATAGTGAAAGTATCTACTAACGAAGTTCATCAACCTTGTATAACCCCTATTCGAACACTACTGGTCGAGTTACAACTTATGAGGAAAATAACCACTTTCCCCACTTTTATTTAACTTTGTTAGAGACATTCCTTCAAAGATGACGTTTTCATGATCTAATGTCTCACCGGTTAATCTACTCCCAGGAGATTCACTTGTTGATCTAGATTACCTTAAATAACAATCTAACCGCACCTGGAATACGATTCTCACCCTCTATATGTAGAATGTTCTTTTAGAACTGCTCTGCATCAACGCCTTAACCAATGTTAGGAAGTCACTTGGATCGCTTCATGTATCTGGATGTATCTGAATGTCATCAACCCTAGTGAATTAGTGTTTGACAAAATCTCAGCACGGATTCAGATAGCTCGGTCGGCTTGTAATATAGGTAAAATTTCCATCTACCAACCAAGTAAGTTTATTAAACAGTTCACTCCTTCCTACTTTATTGCTGTGAAATATGGATATTTAGAATATAGAATCTGCGTAGGTTGCTAGCATTTGATTGTAGGTATCTTCAAATAATCGCTCGTTTGCTTTGTGACCACTGAGTGAGTAATTTTGAGGTTAGAAACATAGTACTATATAAAGATGGCAAGTCGATTAGTGAGATAGTAAGCTTTCATCGATTAACGTGCTGGGTGTTTAGTATACTTAGCCACCTCCCACCACGTTAGGTGCTGTTGGTCGGTAAATAGTGAAGTGTCGATCAAACTGGAACTTATCATAAGGCACGAAGTCATTAACAACTAGGCTGAGCAAATAAAGATTGCATTAACGTAAGTAATAATCTAAATGAGTCGATACCATCCCTTTGTAACTCGAACTGGTCAGTACATTATGCCAGAATATTCATGTGGTTGCAACCAATGTATCGTCTGTATTAAAAGGGGCAATTGCTGTGCAGTAAATAGTGAAAGTTTAGTCTGTCATTTATAATCGATTCTGCCATATACAACTACATATAAAATTTTTTAATCAAATCGGATCACAGTATGATGTACGTATGTAAATGTCCGAAATCAGAATATTTCAACTTTTCATGTACTTTCATTAATAAAAAAACATGCTGTCTTTATTACAATAATATAACCTAGAGATATGTGATTCTAATTTCCCAAACAAGATAAATAATAGTAGTAGTTCCGATAAGCAATTTAACTTTTCATCTTAAATGCGACATTGATAATCAGAAATTAAAGGAAAGGAAAATTCATGTTCTACACATTACTGAAACATTTTATTCGTGGTGTTATGCATAATAGATATTCTTCGGACAATGTATGCTCTGTATTTTGATATTATTAAAGATAAAACGGAGAGATTAGTTGTTTTATTCACGGGTTTGCCTATGTTGCATTAAAAAAATAATTCAATATTATGTTAATTAATTGACTCTAAAAACTTCACATTTTAGTTTGGAGCACAATAATCTCACTTCCTTTAATACATTTCCAATTTGTAATAATACACTTATTCTATTTCCGTTCCCAACTTTTAAGACATCCTTCAAGGTTATGTTCACCAAATGGCTTGTAATTTTAAGTCTCTTCAATGGTAAACAATCAAGGTATCACATGAAATTTTACCAAAAATCATAAGGTTTCCTAATGAATACATTGTTTAAACACTAAACTAGTATTTCACATTCTCACCTTCAGTCAAACAATGATTGTATTATAATCTTTAATTATAGGAGTATAATGTATGATCAAATTCCGTTTAGTTATATTATCAAATCTTTCCATAATTGAACCCTAGGAAAATTCACCTCAAAGTTAATCATTAGTGAGGATATGCTTCTGACTTACCAATATCTTTAGTTAATATATACACAGTTGAAATCATGGATCAATCTCAGTTAAATAATCACTGAAAATCTAGCAGCACTGGAATGGGACTAATCAACAGTGCCCAGCCACAACCTCAAATGCGGGAATGAAACCCAGGACTTTCAGTCTAATGCATAAGGTCATGAATTGGTTAAAGTTAGTTATTAACACCATTGGATGCCGTCTCAGTGGTCTATAAGTTAAGTGTTCACACGCGAGACCAAAAGTTCTAGGTTCGATTCGTTCATCCGGGTTCGTCGATACGTACTGTTGAGGCGTCCCATACTAGGACAAAACGGCCGTCCAGTGATCCTAGGTTTACAATTGTTGTCTAGCTAAGATCAGTTCACGATTTCAGCTATAAAAATCCCACATATAAATATATATTTATTTGAAAATCTAAATATACACTTAAAGGATTCTCAACTTACAGTCAAAACAATTGTTCAGTGCTCATTGATTTTGTAATAATTCCTCAGCTAATGACAAATCGTAAGTATATTTAAACATTATCATTTATCAAAATATATTGACGTTTTAATGTTCATAATCAACACTTATCGTTCCGTAATAAAAGAAATGTGTAATTAACATTATTGTGAATATAGTGCAAAACTATTTGTTAATTAATTGCTGAAATATTTTTTAAATACTTTACTAGCTCATGCCATTAGAGAAATATGGTCACTATTTTAATTATTTCTTTTCTTTTACGCAACTCTTTATATATACATCATATCTAAATATTAATAATTAATCGCCGTTAATATTTTCTTATAATTCTATCATCATGATTACTAAGATACTTCAGAAAATGACAATTAATATCATTAAGTTACATCTCTAACTCTCAATCTACTTGAATAATTTCACTAACGATTGTGATCATTTTTTTGTTTTAGCAAAATATGGAGGGAAAGATGTTAAAATTTCTTCTATAAGGTGTCCACCAGTAGATGATCACGTGTTATAACAATTAATACAATACATTTTGTTTTAATTTACTAAAATTAATTAAGTTTCGTAGAACAAAAAGAATGCGGTTAGCAATAGAATCTAGGATCAGTGTTTCATTCGCTTTGAGATTCATCAGATGAATTTATCTACGTCCTAGTGTATTTATTCACACTAGGACTATGATCCAGTATCTTTTGCTTCAACTCAATTCATTATCCATTGAATTACTGAATAATTGATAGCCACTAACTCAAATCCTACCCTTGTTAGTTTCATTTTTGAAGCTTTGTTGGTATAAACTCGTATATCTGTAAGCATTTTCTGATTTTCTACATAAGTTCATCTTCATTAAACAACCATTTAAGATGGGCGAAAAACTGTTTAAGTAATAGAAGTATTTATTTCCTTGCTTGTTAGTGATTTGTTGAAAGATAAATGTTCCAAAATTGCTGTGGAAAACTATAATCTGTAAAAAAGGTTCAAATGAGAGTAGCATAGATGTCCACCAGTAGATGGTCACGTCTTATATTAGATTGACTAATTTTAAAATATTGTGAACCTCTAGATTCTCAGTGAATAAAATCGTATTTATTATAAGACCTAAATATTCTGACCTTAAAATCATTCATTATGGATATGAATTTTTGAGGGACTGCTATCCGTGACATAGCAACTGCTATATAATTCCTGGTATTTACCCAATGTTGGTAATATAATAAAAAGCCGCTTGTCTTATTCAACAAAGTAATATCCTGTAGTATTACATAACGAAATGATTTAAGTTATACAACCATTGAAAACTAGGAAGGAACGGACATCTGTTTCTTCTTAGTATGGGACTCCACAGGACTACGCGTTTATGACCCCTCCAAGAACTGAACTCAGAACATCCAAGCATCGGAGACGGCGCTTAACCCACATACCTTCACAATCTTCTATAATTAAGAAATCATGTTTTTACTAGTAAATTACATCAAGAGGTAATTTCAATGGATCTAGTAAGATATCGTGACTGATTAGCTCAGTAATATCAGAAGGTGAAAGCTATCATCAATGACAGTGAATAATGTTCGACCAAATGCCCTGGTATGGCCGAGAGTGGGTTGGGTTCGCAATCCCTCTCAAAATACTCTCACACTGCCACGCGTATACAGCCTTTGCCAGGGAAGTCCTACTCACTGCCTTCTCGTGGCACTACTGTTGTTTACGAAAATGAGAGGACGAAAAGCGAATGTCCGGCGCTTTAACCGGATACCAAATCAATGGTGCACATGGGCTCCAGTATCCTGCGGGAACAAGTGGCGTATGAACCAATCGTTGGTCACCGGCTACCATGGGACTGCATCTCCTCACGATGCTCCACTGCCTTGTGGACTAGACCTTTAGGTCAAAGGCTCGGGGCATGGCCCCCTTGTACCAATATTTATGTATTCAAATAAATAAAATAACACGAATTGATTGGCGTCTGAAAACCCTGAGTTCGAGCCTTGGTCAAGTAATGGGTGCTCATTTCTAGGGAGTCCTGTACTAAAAAAGCATCTGGCCATTAACTCCTGGTTCGTAATGATTGTCTAAGATCAATAAGTGATTTAAAAATTCAACACTCCGCAACCCCTTATACTATAAAATAAAACCTACTAAATAATTAATAGAAAAATAATCAGTTTCTTAAAATAAATACACATAATTTTTAATTTCACAAAATGTAATGGTTAATGTCTACGGCTGTTTTTTTTTCTTCTAAAAAAACAGGTTATCTTTATATCTCTTTCTAAAATAATTGGTGCTATTTATTGATAAGTTTACTATTAATGCTATAATTTTTTAAGGTTGTTCATTTCAACGTCAAAAACATGTCTATGCATAATGAACCAGTACTGTGTTCTTGTCTGTTGATTTCATGTTCATGCTTGACTAAATTAAATGCACTGATTTCCTACTATCAAGCAGTGTTTTTTTTCTTTTAATTAATGTACACAGATTGATAACCTAGACTTTTGGTAAAGTGTATAATTAAGTAGAATGATTTTTAAATAAATGCTTTAAAACTATAACAAATGACAACGTGTTGAGGAGTTATTTCTTCTTGAATTTCGTAGATCTTTCAGTAGACGATTTTGTAGGCTATTTTAAATACCCTTAGGGTTAGTTGAAATATACCTATTTAATACTTCCATGTGTAATCGTAACTAGGTGTATGTCTTAACACCATTGGAGCACGAGACGGAATCGTTGTTGAGCACTGCTGAGAAGTCCCATACTAGAATGAAACAGGCGTTCAGTGCTTTCAGGTTTTCAATAGTGGTCTAACATCAATCCATTTGTGATCTCAATCAAAAACTTAACAATCTCCATAACCCCATAGTGATAAGTATGTCTTTATGTTGTAATCGCGGTTGTTCAATTCACTAATTAAGTAAAATAATTAGAATGGGTGTTGGCTTAATTAAATATATGTAGAAAAATATTTTCACCAGATTACTTAGTCAAAAAAATGAGTAGCTGCTTGTTATACAATGAAGCATTTTAAACTAAGTGACTATACTCTCTCTCTCTCTCTATATATATATATATATATATATATATATATATATATATATATATATATTGACTGACGTCAATCATTAAGGTGAATCTCTTTTAAGTCATACAAATTAATTTGAAATGCCATCTTAATATATAATATTATTTGGTGGAGAGTATCAGCAATTTAACCCAATAAGGATACCTCTCAGTTGTGAGGACCTGAAACATTCCTTGATCGAAATGTAGATAAGTGGTCAAAACTTGAAAGAAAAAGTGTATACTGAATGGATTATAATCAGATTTAATAGTTTCGAAAGAAATCAACAAAGCTAGATGATTTGCGATTGTAAGTCATCAAAAATGAGGTTTACAACTGACTGTCAACTGAGTAGTACCCAGTCTCACGTTTATATAGTCCTTCAGCATTAATCGAGTTCCGCTAGTTCAGTTATCTAAATGACTCGACGTTGTATTGAATATATTGAGATGTTGGGTGGTTGAATATAATCAACAAAATTGTAAATATCTGACTTCTACAGAATATTTGTCCTTTCCCGGATAACCAAGTGGTAACGTCTCAGATCATGAAACTGAATGCATGGAAGTGCCAGTTATCTCATAATCAGAAATACACGCTCCTGACGAATGTCAATTGGTACAAAATCTTGATTCAGGATATCTTGTCAAGTATATCAAACCACCGCTTCACATCTCGACATAGTGCACATAATGTCGAGTCACTTAGACTAGTGGCAACATTGTAACTTGATTGATCATCGCTAAAAAGAACTTAAAATACTGAATGATCGATCAATTGTATAAATAAGGTTTAAAATTGTATTTCGAAAGTACAATTCTCCTTAAAATAAAATTACAAAAAATATGTGATATATATATATATATATATATATATATATATATATATATATATATATATAGGGAGAGAGAGAGGTTAGACAAATATGTACTTCACCCTTAAGTGAATAATCACATTTATGCAATAGTCTGAAATGTCCGAAGACAATTTATTGTCAGTATTAAAAAAATAGATCACAATTTAAGATAAACAATGAAACTGATAAGAATAAGTTTTTTTAGAAAAAAATATTTTTGTAAACATCAGTTCTTATGGAAATCAATAAATAAATCTTATTCTCATTGTAACATATTTATCTTGTTTATTGTGTTGTATTACTTTTATCAAATATACATTTGGAAAACCGATTTAAATCAAAATTATTTATACCGAATTAAACTGTATTTCAAAATGAATTACAGGCTTTAATTTGTCTTTAATAAATGAAATGTAAATATTTTAGAAAATTGTTTTCTTCATCATGTTTACCTTCGTTGTTATATATTCAAATATGTTTTACACTCCACTTATCAATAGCTCTGATATGTTTCAAATATCAATTTATCAAGAGAAAGTTTTCCAGATTTCATTAAGTTCCGTAAGATGATTTAGTTTTCTACATTCGATGATCAACTGAAGCTCGTTTGAAATTCTGTCAATAATTGATCAAGATTTCGCTCTATATTACTGCATGAGTGATTTATAAATTCTGCATACTGAGTTGTTTTCCATTCTGACTATTGGGTGAGTATGAGAAACAGCATTCTGTACTAATAGCCACTTAGTGTTATTGTGCTATCATCTCACATTTAGCGTAACATTAATACTAAATAGACAGCTCAAGGGAGTTAATTAATCAATACATCTGTTCTCCTATCTAACAGTCCGGTTTCACGGGCCCCAATAAACACATTCCCCACTGTTTTTCTAGGAATCTCGACGCAATACTTATTGATAGAACAATTTACTTCAAAGTAGAACAAGACGCAATTGAGTCACATATATATATATATATATATATATATATATATATATATTTCTCTCTACCCTGGGTGTCTAATAGGTTTCAAACTTATTTTTTAAAGTCGTTGTTATGTAATCACTTCAAACAACTACCCAAATTATAGACTTAATTTTAGGTTTTTCATTATGTACTTATGCAAACACTACAGGCAATTAACTGAACATGAAATTGAAACTTACACTAACCAACCATATATTTATTAAACTCCTTACTTTAACAAGCTTTCATCTGATTACTTGGTAAATAACAAAACTCAAAATTACATAATTGTATCTTGTTCACTAAACTTATTCAGAATTAAAATTATATTCAGAACGGCTGAGGCATTTGCTTTAATCGATTTTACAGTTGTGAAATGACATCACTGAGAAAACATGTGTTTGAGAGTATATAACAAATAATCTGAAATATGCTACAGTCCTTAATAGCCGAAACTCAATCTACTGAAACTACATTGTCGATATTCTACAATCTCTCAAAGTAATTAACGGACAAAGAAACACTTAGCTAAAGCAAAAGCTATTGATTTGCTCAAAATGAACCTATACCTTTATAAAGAAACAGTTGTCTACTTAGCACTGCTATAGTAAACTGATATTTGTCATCATATCGTCTTTAATAATTCTTGTTCTTATGTTATATTATAAAATATTTACTAAGTTGATCATCATTCGATCCACTTGAAAATTAGCTTCTCATTCAATCAGTGGTTTTCATAAAAACAATTCTTAAAATTTTATCCAAACTTGTCAAATTTTCGAGAAATACTGTGCAGTGTATCTTACTAACTTTTCAATTCTAGACAAGTGCCGTTATATTCCGTTTGTATTGACTTTATATTCAAATGACCTTAAATTAACATATAAATTATATTATACTGATAACCCGTATCACTTCGACTATTCAGTCACTGTTGTTTGTTATTCAATGATAATGTTACTTTTCAACACAAATAAGATTAAAGGAAAATCGTGATAACCTAAATATTATAATTGCTTAAATTGTTGTTCTTTGCTTTATTCCAACTTTATTCTAAAGATGATTTGTGAAAATGTTTATTTTTAAAGATTATATACATCATGAATGGAAAGCACAATACATTTAAATCCCTGAATTAGATTTGAATAGTTAGTATTCAGACGACCATCTAGTAACTCTTACAATTGTGACAAGGTTGAACTCGATCAGTCAAGAATTTTCACTGAAATTAAAGGAATCCATCTCGGTGTTAGTTACTAGTGAATACAACACTATTATTTATGTAGGTAATTTATACGGTCGGAATAAATATTTTCTACCACGGATGGACTTATTTCAACTCAAAGTTATAAAAATATTATGCTCATTGCAAAAATCAAAGTCCTGGTTTCGATTTTTCATTGTGTTGTGAGTAACCACTGCTGAGTAGTTTAAAACTTTAACGAAGAAGCTACTATCATCTCATGATGAACACTATTTTGTTCATGTTTTTTTAATGTGCCCAATTCTTTCTCTCCTTAAATGACGACCGCTATGATCTAAATAGCTAGTTACTTCCATACGCATTCGGTGACTTGTCCATCATTGACATCTATAAGCCAGTTGTATACACCAGAAAATACTCGACAATATTTCACATATAAACAATGCCATCGGCATACATATCCATCGATGGAAATAAACGAAAACAGAACAAAATGCAACCTTAAAAATACAATATTTCTTTGAAAAAAAAATCACAAAATTATTTATTTAGATCATATCATTCATTTCATTAACAATAAGAAAGTTTTCGTTCCCCCCTTACAAAAAAGTTCTGACGTAAACAGGAAAGAAGAGAAAAACAAACAAAAAAATTAAAAATGATTTTCCCATTGCTTTGATAATATTCTTCACTTTTCTCAACTCAGAAGTGAAAATGTGGATAAGTTTTTTTTCAAAATAAAACAGAAATCAACAACCCATAGACGACAGGAAGACACAAGAAAGTTAAAAAGTAAGCGAAAGGTGAAGACATTGAACACACACACACACAGAGGGAGAGAGAGAATGAAGTATCAATCATGTAATTCGACTCAGACAGAAATTATTATCATTAATGCCGTTATTCGCTTATTTGTCAAAGTTATGAAGGAAAATTTTAGATTTTCTCCATCAAATTGATATGAACTTTCCTTGTGTCTCTCCTTCCTTAACTGATGTTTGGTTCAATTTCAACAATCAAGAAAAGGTAGGAGTAATTTCTGAATGAAGGGAAGTAAATAATACGAAATGATATATTAATTCATATGAATAAATTGGAAGCACTGAGATCAAATTACATTATTATATAAATTTGATTTATATTTAACAATGTATATCAAGTTCCTTACTGTTTATCAACATATATTATGTACATTGGTTTAAGCGCCAATGTTCTATTGAATGTACATCATAGGAAGCTGTTGAAACGGAAGAATATCGAGAAAGTTGTAACTTGAGGAATTACCTCGTGAAAAATTATCACTTATATTTTTAGTAGGGAGTATTTGCAGTATTTTTACAATTGGAATCATGAACTGATCTTAGCTACATCACTGTTAAAAATCTGGAAGAAATGGGTAGGGCTTTTGTCCTAGTACGGGAACCCTCAGAAATACTCATTCACGACCATGCACACGCGAATCGAACATAGGGACTTCGGTTTCTATTGTACAATTATTAGACATTTGGATTATTGTATCCTTATGTTATCTTAATTGTAATCTTTTTTCCGCATATAAACCATCAATATATGTTTGGTATTTTTAAAGTTACTATTCACTGATTACGGACCTACCGTTTATTTTCTTTTGCACTTATGGCGTAGTTATGAACGTAATATAATTTCCTATTTATGTTGGTCGGTGGTCAGGTCAGGATGTAACTCTAGTGTTGCGAAAAGAAGCCATCACCTCAATTAGCTGTAGACAGAGTCATAATATACATGAAGAAAATCCACTTAACCATCAACAATACAGTAGTATATAAATATACATTAATTTTCTATTAACTCACCAGATACTTGAATGTAAGCCATATTCCAAGTGTAAAGACTAATTATAGTATGCGGTTGCTTAAACCCAAGTAGATGGGACAGGGTTCAAAGCTGGGACTTAGTGAAAGTTGAACACCTTAACGATTAAGCCATCACTCAACATAAATATCATGGTTTAGATATTTCTAAACAGTTTATGGAATAATAATTGACAAAAATATCAACAGAATCAATGTCACCTACAATTCTGATCTTCTTGAGGAACTTCTATTTTCACTACTGGTGGTGGATTCACCGATTCATCTACCACAATAATATCTTCTGGTTGAGGTGCTTTAGGTGGAAATTGACCATCCCAAACTGCATCAATTGTAGTATACATAGTTGATCTACTAGTCTGAGATGTACTGTCATCATTGTTTATTCCGCTAGTTGTTGATGCTGAATTTTGTGAATTGTTTGGCAAACCTAGAATAGAAATTATTTTACGGAATATCTCTTCTGCCTAAAATGAATACAAAAACATAATATGGAAAAATGTTTAGGTTATTTATATAGATAAGTTTAAAATAAACGAAAATATTATCAGGTCATAATATAAAAAAATAAAGTCGGTCAAACTCAAAATCAGAAAAAATTCAATAATAATAATAAACCATCCTAAAGAAATCAAATCTTCTTTTTCAAGATCAAATAAATATACATAGTTGTTTAACTGATATGGTTGCTCGATTTCGTATCAATATTTATTATATGCATTATATTATCTTTTGTTATGTAAACAACAGTACAACTATATGAAAACATAGTTTAAATTGATGTTGTCAAATTAGGATTATGTGTAGAATCAAACAAAAACAAGCAAACAAAATACTGAAAAAGTTCATCAACAGAATAATTTAAACCAACGCGAATTGAATTGAAATGCATACCCGTCGCTAATACCTATCCGAACTTAGTATCCAAACGGAAATGGGGTTAGGTCTTTGAAGTGAGTAGTACTGGGTTCGAATGTCGGGGTGAAAATTAACTCTGGGATGCATGTAAATTCAGCTGATGTGTTGTAAATATAACGAAAAATGAGTCATGGATTTTAGCTGTTAGCCACATTTCATCTATTCTATAAAATAAACCTTGAAAAAAGCATTTAATCGAGAGCTTGTAAAGTTAACTTATTTATCACAGACTGACACTAATCATCTAAAGAACTGATAAGAAAGCAGGAAATATTAAAAGCCGTTTCATTTCATGGAGAATACAATATCTTCAAGTCTAAATCCACTGTTTTACATTCCCAATATTAGTCGTTTCGAAATGTATTGCAACAATTATCCGATCTCACCCATCATCCATAAAACCTATTTCTCTGCCAACATGACTGAACTCCACCACTACTGTTGTACAAGGTACCAGAAAGAATGAAATGTTAATTTTGGCGAAATTAAAATGTTTATCTAACATTTGTATCTTAAGGTGTGTTCTGCAATGAAGTTATTTCTAAACTGTCTTCTCTACTCGTCTCTAAGTGTTCTGCCTACGCTGTGATTTTTGAAGTACTGAAACTTTTCTTTCCATATGGCGACTGTGATAGTTTCAACTCCACGTTCCACTACACGCTAATTACGAGCAATGTGTTAGTAGTATTCACCAAACTTGAATACATCTGCATATAAATCATTCACCTAAATAATACCTTAATATTCTTTGATTGTCTATAGTGAATTTTCATTCGTCCCAGTTACCAACACTTGCATTCGTTATAACAAACTTTTACCGTTAATGAAAATGTAAATTTTAATATTCATTACAATTATAATGAAAACCATATCGTCTGATTTTTCAATCAATAAGTAGTCAGTTGGTGACATACAAATTAGAACCACTAGAAAACTAATAAATGAATGAATACCGTGTAATTACTATTGTAGTATTAAGAAAGTTTATCATATATATATGGAGAGAGAGAGACTATCAATAGACTGCAATAATTGTTATGCAATATGCTGCCACATGTAATAAAACATCATTTATAAAACATGAAAATATTTCATGCGTGCATTCACCACCACCACACACACACATCCAGCCTACATATTTACATACTAAAAATATGAAGTATTATCTCTTGAAATGATCACAAAATTTTGGCCGAATGCTTTAAAACACAAATCGATTGAATATCAGTAAACGCTTAATAATAAACAACAAAAAATAGCAAATGTGTAATAATCACATAAACCATACACTATGTGTATGTGTGTATTGTACACATAATTACTAATGTAAAAGATATACGGAGAAACTAATACATAATTAATCATTCAATACAAACTGAAGTAAACATGATAGTGATTAAAATGAAGGGTTAAAGGCCAAAATTAAAGACATTGATTTCTTCCGGATGATTAGTTATCAAGAAGATGAAGAAAAAAAGATTAATATTAACAAATGACAATCTATTCACTATAAATATTGATGCAAAATAAAGAGAGAACAGATACACATAGTCATTAACAATAAAAAACTACCCAACTCAGGTTTTACTTTTGAGTTGTAAGTTCTCGTTTTAAGTTAATAAATATATATATTTATGAATGTGTGTACGTACATTCTCGATTAGTTTTAGCCTATACAGCTTCATTGTAACTCAAGAAGCCGGCTGGGCTTGAGTATAGAAAGCTTGTTTATCAGTATTAGAATCGGACACCGCACAACGCAACACCCATTTGGCTTAGTATAAAGTTAACACTTAAAGTGATTAGAAACAGTTTGCTAGGATTCAACCGATAAGATTGGTATGAATAGCAATACTGTCAAGAAGAAATTTGGTTTCATTTTTCTGAACTGTAATCGTGCGTAAGATCGATGGTCAATATTTGAAATGAATACATATGCCCGATGGCAACAGATTTTCAGTCATTTCTTTCTACGAGATAACAATTATGTTGCGAACTTCAAACTAAGAGTATGAATCAACCGTCTATAACTTCAATGAGTGTTATCTTGCCTCTGTTTGGTCGCCTCCAGCCTTTTGTTCATCTGGTTTATTAATGGTTGAGGTGTTTGATTGTTGGAAATGGGTACATAACACAAACACATCATTTGCTAACAGCCTGAAACATTATAAGTTGATTTAATACATTTAACATAGTTCATCATTACTCACTTCGACATACTCAGATATAATCAATGTTTTGAAAAAACATCTGTAAATGATCATCAACAACACAGAATGGGTCTTTCATTTTATCAGGTTATGTTTCACATACTTAATCAAAGAACTATAGAAAATTATATTCTTACCATTTAATATTATGATCGTCAATGCCCTTTCATTTAAACACATTCAGTACAAACAATCATAATTGTTATACTCGTTTATATTTATCCCTATTTGTTGAATAATTGTGAATAATTTCATTTAGTTATAAAATATATCTGCCTATTTTACATAACGATCAAATATGAACCTTAGAATTGACCAAAAAAGTCATCCAGATTAATTATGTCAGTAAATAAATAATATGAATAATGGAATGAATTATTACTCACAATGAACATTGAAATTAAACATGAAATTTAACACTGAATATCATATTACTATTATAAAGATAATAATAATAATAATAATATAATATCATACAAATATATGCAATTATTAAAAACTAATGAAATACATAAATTAGTTTCCTACAATCAATAGGCGATATATGTGTGAAATCACATGGTTTTAAACTAGGTTAACATAGAATAAAATAACCAACTTATATAATAAATTAACATTTTTCTCTGTTACTATGATAAATTTAATACGGAATCAGTTATTTGGGAAAATAAAAATGATTGGTAAGAATTTGAATTATTCCGTTATTGATTATGGCGACTGAATTTTGATTAATCTTCGTTGATATATATGAATTCTATGTGGATTACCACGATTTAATCATTTTGTCAATAGGATAATTTAAACTTTCAGTGATAAAGGTATTATATGTGTTGAACAAGTTAATGGCTATCTGGTTTCATTAGCTCAGTAGCTAACGCGCTGCTATTGAAGACGAAGAGAAATTGGCTAGGGTCTCTATGTAAATAACAATATTGAGTCCCAGGTACATCCGGCGGACGAGTCCGAAATACGCTACAATGTGGGTCCTGAATTCCACTACTAGCCACAATCCATTTACTCTGAAACATGAGACCCGCGCTCTAAATTCATCACATATAAAACAATATAGGTGTACAACTTTGAATATTTAATTGGTTTGTTTTGCAACAAACGAATATATAACTACAACACGATTCGTTGGTTAAACCTTGGACATTTTATTGATACACATCAGTAGATACTAAATAAGAACTGGATATTTTCAATGTAGATATTTAGTATTATTTAAGTAGTTAAACTAGACAACACAACATTAATTACAAATTGATTAATCTCCTACATTACATATGAAAAAAAAAAGATTTTATTAACAAATAACCTATGAGTTACATTATTACCAACTGAAATCTTTGCGATTGTTAACGATTAAAAATGGTTGATAAATTAACGATCACTCAATGAATTACAAGTTAATACCAATAAAACAATCTTTTAAAAGTCAAGAATCGCTACATATTTGTTGACATATAATTCCCACTTAAACTTTTAAAACACGAAGTTCAACCAAGGGATCTTTTTTTTCAAAGAATTTATTATCAAGCTGAACAATCGCATATATTTATGGAAATTTTGTTTAAGTTTAGTTTCATAAGGACATATGAACAGGGACTAAAAATGTAGATGTAATAGAAAGATTAAAATACTAGATTACGCATTGTGAGTAATAACAATAAAATATCATATGTGCAAATAGAAAGCCTTGTAAAATTAATAAGTTAGCAATGGATTATAGTGTGAATGAGGTAAGATCATTAAAATAATCTAGTTATAATAATCAAAGGTAATAAAGAGGTTAAATGAAATGATATCACAAAGCAACTATAAATTAAATCATGAGGATATGAGACATAATTAAAGGGAGAGGAGGATATTTCATATACAAAATACAATAATAATAATAATGATAAAGACAGTTTAAAGCCATAGTATTGATATAAATGACACGTACGTCTTTGATACATACATACGATTGTACAGCTTGATAATAAATATTTGGTGCCATGTACCATAAAACTTCACTGAGTAACTATTTCTTTCAAGTTTGTAAGTTTTGCAGCAATACGGTGGAAATCAAACTACACCAGGAATAAGGTAGACATCATAGATAACATTAAATGATTAAGACATGTTGCGAATCAATTTAAGTTGGTCCAGTTTTCGGGCCTACGTTCATTTTCGTGTGGATTCATGAGTATGTGCAGCTGAGGAAAATTAAACTGAAACCAAATAGTTGTGAATATACCCTTTTGTTTTAATTGATTTCCTAGCTATTATTAGATGATAGTGAAAACTAACACCAAAGACATTGTTAAATCAGTGGTTTAAAGAATAACCACATG